AGGTCCGTTCCAATCCAAACCATTCTATGGTTGTATAAATGTCCTTGACCTGATGTTTTCCTCCTCAGGATTGGTCCAAAGGAGGATTTTTTCCACTGTTCAAAATGCAATTTATGCTTAAGTTTGAGTCTTCAAGGAAAGCACAAGGTAAGAATACACCGGTTGACTCCCTATCTTTAAAAAAAAAAAAAACAAAACACCACCTTGAAAATGAAAGTTGATAGTGCCTTGGCCCCATCTAGGGCCATATGGACAGGGAGAGCTGCAGGTTCTCCGTTTTGTCTAAGCACACCTATCCTGAACAGCAACACAGTGCTTGTGGGCTGGCTTTGCTGGCACCTGAAGCTGAAATACCCACTTCAGTCTCCTTCTCCCCTTTGAAAAGGAGCTGTTGATGGTAGATCTGACAGCATGTGAGTCCGAGCTCCTGCTGCAGCATTGGGAAAGCTGGGGCAACACAGTGCTTGTGGGCTGGCTTTGCTGGCACCTGAAGCTGAAATACCCACTTCAGTCTCCTTCTCCCCTTTGAAAAGGAGCTGTTGATGGTAGATCTGATGTGATTCCGAGCTCCTGCTGCAGCATTGGAAAAGCTGGGCTGCCTGCTGCTGTGGGAGTTCTGGGAGCCCTCTCCTTATGTATACTTTTAAGCTGTTTGGTTTTTAATATGCTAAGCCACCAGTTAATTCTCTGAACTTCAAGCCTAGGTGCAAGCATTTTGTACATCTTTTCTTATTATTCTAAAGGAATTTTAGAATTTAGAAAAAATGCAGATATTCGTGTAGTAAGATAACTTTTTTTTGTCTGTGCAAAGTGCATTGAAAACGTCTCCAGGCAGGATTGTCCCATATGTTTGGAGGTGAGCTACTTCTTTTCGTCTCTTGGGATTGTGTTTGGCTGTATTTTCAGTCGTGTTTGAATTTAACAATGTTCATGTCTTGTGTCTGATACTTGCCTTGAAACAGGATATTCACACATCTCGTATTGGAGCTCACGTCCTGCCGTGCGGTCATCTTCTTCACAGGTAAGGCAGTGGAGTATTTGAGAACGGTGCATACCTGTTCCCCCATGCATGGTGTTTATTCAGCGGCTCTCCAGGCCTCCTTAGTCTGTGCCAGCTACTTAAGCTGGTTTCTAAGGGACCCACATGGTTGGGGCTATAGTCTCTGTTTCATCAGGAAATTCTTTGGAAAGGTTGTCTTCCTTCCACAGTAAGTCTTGGTGGTGGTGGAAGGACCTCTGTACTCTTCATTCAAAACTTTCCCGTGCTGAATTTCCTTCTGTTACTACTTAAATTTCAAGAATCCCGTAGAGAAGTTCCTACGTGGTACAGAAAGCAGTTGCACAATGGTTTTAGGAGGCTGGTGCCAGCTCGTCAGGTAAGTTTTAGATAATTTCCTTAGACAGTCGCCCAAGACAGCAGAGGGTTTTGTTGTGCTACAAAAACTGCCAGCTCTACTGGGATTTTAAAGGATAGTGATACATTGCGCTGGGTGCCTTTGGAGAAATAGACTCTCCGTTGCGCTCCCATTGTTCCCTTGAGATGACGTTTTCTGTTTCTACTTCTGTGTTACGTTACAGACGCAACTTTTTGTTCCTCTGTTGGCTCTCTTTGGTCTTTCCTGTTGTTTGTGTGCTGTATGAGTGGCCTCTGCATTTCACACAGGTTTCCCCAGATTTAATCTTCTTTCAACTCCTGTCGGTCTTGAACATACCTCATGATGCATTACAGTCCACTTCTTCATCAAACTTGATCCACGCAGTCCTTTTCATGTTGTTGACTCTGTTCCCCGGTGTTATGTTAGAAAACCTTAGAATGGAATCAAGTGTACTTTGCCTCTGGATTTTTGCCTTGGTACCCAGTGATTTTCCTGGGAAGCTTTCCTTTTCCTTTTGTTGAGTCCAAACGTGTGACCAGTCAGTAATTGCATTCTCTTTACTGAACTTCTCATTGTCTTTTCTTTTCAGAACATGTTACGAGGACATGCTAAAGGAGTAAGTATTTCTGAACATCTCATCTCTTAATATTGTTGTAATCCAAACATATTACTTAGGAGACAAGGATTGTGATGCCAGTCCTGTATCCAGTAACTTAAAGCCAACTCTGAAAGGGAAAGGGGGCTTTTAATTTTCAGTTCTGTTGGCAAGAACTTTTTGATTTGTGATGGTTCTCTTTGGTGTGATATGAAACCTGTCCTTTGGAGTTGACTTGTTTCATGACCCCTCTCTATCTTCTGATTTAGACTTTTTGTTTTTCCTTTCTGCCAGAGGCTACAGGTGTCCTTTGTGCATGCACTCAGCTTTAGATATGACAAGGTACTGGCGTCAGCTGGATGATGAAGTAGCACAGACTCCTATGCCCACAGAGTATCAGAACATGATGGTGGAGGTAAGAGATGAGACTTCTCCACGGATGGATGTCTCTGTTCTTGGCAGATCCGTGCCTTTCCGTTACTGGCAGTAGAGGGCACCAGGAACTTGTCCTGAATCAGAAGGCAACCTGACTGTTAGGGAACGGTGAAGCAATGTTGCGTGTAGGTTTACAGTATTCATCTACTGGGTTTGTAAACAAAAGTGCTGCCCACTTGCACTCCACCCAAAACCCACAACCTCGCAGTGTCGTAGTGTTACCTAGCAGAAATGGCTTGGCCTTTGGAAGTATCTTGCTTTCTCCAGTCGTGTCAGGTGCCTTCATAGCAAAAAAAACAGGAACATCTGTTTTTAACAGCTTGGAGCTTCATGTTCAGAGTAAACATGGTGGTTTTTCTGCAGAAATATTTGGCTGTTGGTTAGTGCAAGGCTAGTTTCTGTTTTCTTTCTGTTTCTTTGTATTAACTCAGAACTGCAAAACTGGTGGTTTTTTGCAGGTAACGGTGAATTAAACAGCACTGGTCAGTAATGTTCTAGTTACATGTAGTGTCCTTTAGACAACCCTTCCTACCAGCTCTCGGAGTCAGGATATTTGGAAAAAAAATGTCTTTACTGCCTGTTTTGAGAGGAACGCTGCCTCGACTGCCTTGCGCAGCAGACTGTCTGGTGTTGCTAGCTGCTGATAATCTGCTCTCATTTTCACTTGAGGCTTTCTCTGGTGGTTTCCTACATGGAGAGAAGCCAAAGTGTGTCATCTTGCTGTACTGAAAGTAAATTCTCCGTGCTTATACAGTGTGATCCGAGTAGCTACAAACGGAAAAGTTGAATCAGCTCTACGTGTTCCTCTGCTGTCTTTACAATAAAAGTATTTTCCACTTTGTGCCCTGATGGCAAACTGGTTTTGTGGTTGCTAGGAGCATAGTTACAGTATATTTGTGAGTGTCCTGTTGTGCTAAAGTCTCTCTTTTTTTTTTTCCTGTGTGCGTTAGATCCTCTGCAATGACTGCAACGCCCGCTCTACAGTGCAGTTCCATCTCTTAGGCATGAAGTGCACAAACTGTGAATCATACAATACCGCTCAAGATGGAAAATGCAGGCTGCCTGTGGAGGAGCAGTGACCAAGATACGTGCTGCACATGGCTGGACAAGGAAGACTCTTGCCCTGGGAGAGGCTGTCCATTTGGAAAAAAAAAAAAGACAAACTACAAAACACCCCCACCAACATAAAAAAAACCCAAACCACTTGTCAGTAAAAATGTATTCCAAGTTGTCCTGGCACCAGTTGAACCAGTTACATGATTGAATTCATACAGGTGCAAAAGGGTTTTGCTTGTAGTGCCCCGCTCCCTAACCTGGAGCGCAGCGCGGTCGGGCCCTTCAGGGAGTTCCCCGTCCCGTCCCGCAGCGCGGTGCCCGATGAAGGTCAGTTTCTGGAGAGAATGGCAGCCTTTAAAAGAGGGGTTCACTGTGTCAGGGAACAGAGAGCTCAGAAGAATAACGAGATGCAGAATGAGACACAAGCAGCTGATGCAGCAGAACATGTTCTGGGGCAGCTGAAGGTTGGGAGCATAACAGGATGGAGGTACAGCTATTCAGGTTGCAGCTGGCGGGGAAAATTGGTAGTTTCGAGAGCGGCCTTTTTACATAAGGCTGACATCGGCAAAGTTTTATGCGAGTACGTTTTGTTCCTTTCCCATGATGTGTTTGTTCTAGGGTCTCGGAGCTATCGGTGCAAGTGGATGGAAGGGGTGAGCTTGCAGAAACTGCATCCCTTGGCTTGGTTTGTCGACATGTACGCGTGTGTGGCGTGCATACAGAATTCGTGCCAAACCCAGGCTGGCCTGCTCCCCCAGACACCCACCGGACCTGCTGTCTCTGCACTCGGATTCCTTTGCCAGCTGCAGTTGCCTTTCCCCCCGTTTATTCCTCATTTTGCTTTATTCACTTGCAAAGGCTGAGGTGTCGTAGGGTTTTAGGCACGTACAGAGCTTGATGTTTTGATAAATACATTCCGGACTGACCTGGGGCCAACAACTCGGGCTGAGCCTGAGGTGTTTGCTAAAGTAGCAGTTCATCAAGGCACTTGAGTAGTGCAGGGACCAGTTTTCTATGATTTCTGTTTTTTTTATGGCATCTGATTTCATTGTGAGGAGAGAAGGGAGGATGGAGGAGTGCTATGTAAAAAAACAAAAGATCTTCCCACCCTTTTCTTTCATGTGATACCCAGCCCAAGGTGTTTTGCAGGCTAAATGTTACAGAAAATTCTTCATTTCTGAGAATTTCAGAAATATGGAACTAGTGTCCAAAGTGCTCAAAATAAAATCTGGAAACAAAAACCGCTCGGTTTATCTTCACCACACAACTCCTTGTTTTTAACTTGCTGTATTGTAAAACAAGAGCCTTTCTGAATCTGGCAGTGCCCCTTCGTGCGTGGAATACGAGGACGTGGATGATGGCACGACTGTAGCTTGCCTTTACTGGAGTATCTGTTTTTGAAGCACTTTTCTCACTGTGATAAATAAATGTAAAATAACATCTCTATTAAATTATGTTCTGTGTGATGCTTCTATGCGTGTAATTCCCAGCTGAGTGCAAGCAACAATTCAGCACTGAAAAATGGAGGTTACCCACGCTCTTGTGTCATATTACCCACCCTTGAGATGGGAGACTCGTGGATTTTGGCAAAAATCCTAAAATCTGACCCAGCAGCATTAGCTGTGACGTGGGACCCCACAAATAGCCTTGGGGTGGTGCTGGGGGGGGGAGCAGGGAAGGTTTTACTTCGTTGTTTGTGCCAGAGCATCTCCTTGGTTGTGGGGGTGCTTCCAGAGGAAGGGGGTTTGGGGAGGTTGGGGTGCTGTGGTTGGTTTCC